CCCCATGCCTGCGGCCCTTGGCAGGCCTGGAGAGAAGGGGAAAGAGCGCTGCAATCCCAGCAAGAGCCCGAGTTCAGGCAGGAGCCTGAAAACCAGCAGGGTCAAGGTGGAAAACTTCCCCCTTCCACTGCCAGGTCCATCCAAGAGCTCGCAGGCTACCTGCAAGTCCTCTTCACCTCCTGGCTTGCAGGCACTGCAGTCCAGGGCTGAGGGTTGCTCCTGCCATCCCTGAGCTGTTTTATCTTGAAAGGCTCAGGACAGGGCACTTCTGAACCATGGGAGAATGCCAGCACTGTCTGCAGAACCACCCACAGACCCTGCTTTACCCTGGGCTCTCCCCCTGCTGCACCCCAGCCTCCTGCCCCACCCCGTCCCCCCATTTCCTAGCAATTTCCAGCCTGGTTTGGTCTAATTTCCATGGCTTTGCAGCCTTATGTGTGTGTTCGAAAACTTTAACAGCACAAAATGCAGCTTGCCCTGGCGGGATGCTCCTCCGGATGCTGCAGGATGGGAAGGGCAGGGCTGGGGGAGGGGTGGGGAGGGGCATTCCGATGTTGGGGCCCAGGCACAGAGGGTGGAGGTCCCTGCTGTGCAGTGAGAGACCTCACGTACAAGGGCTCTTGCTACCAGCAGATTTCTCCAGCTTTTATCCTCCTGGCACATCTTTCAAAGTGTTTGGGGAAAGAGCTGGCGGTCCAAGTGAAGTAAACAAGGTGAGGACCCCCAGGGACACGCCAAGACAGGACCAGGCTGCATCCAGCATGACTGGCCAAGGGGCTATGGTTCAGCATGTCCTGAGGACAGCAGCTCTTTCTGCCATGGCCCTCTCCAAAAAGCCAAACGCAGCATCTCAGAGCAGAGACGGGGCCCCTGAGTCAGTAGAGGCTGGCAACAAAGGAACTACATCCCCCCACAAACATCCCCCCGGCACCGTCCCCTCCAGCATCCTGCCGCCAACTGCCGCCACGGGGATGCCGAGGGGCCGGTTCCTGCCGGACGCCCCTAGCTGGCTGCTTCCCCTCCCTTTGAACTCGTTTCATCTTCCCCCAGAGCAGCTGCAAGAGGGAAGTTTGGGTTGCGCTGGGGGACCCCGCTGTGCCTGGCTGGAGGGGACGCCAGGACAGGGGTCCTGCCTTGCCGCCGGGCAGAGAGGAAGGATGCAAGAGGGGAGATGTGAGCTTTTCCACCAGTATGAGGGCCGCAAACCTATTTTAGGTGGTTTCCAGCTGTTTAGAGGGGTTCCTGTGGAGGCTGGGGAGTGTGGTACCCTCTGCTCCAGCCTGCTCAGCCCGAGTGATGCTCTTGCATCCCTCCATAGTCAAGATAAGGCTCCTGAAGGGAGGCAGCATCCTTCAGACCCCAGCAGCCAGGAAGGATGCTACCCAGGGGTTTGGGGCAGAGGGAGAGGGTTTGGTGGGATATCCTGGTCCCCCGATCATGCTGGGTGTGCACTGAGTTTACCTCCAAGAGCAGGAGGAAGGAGGTGCTAACTCAAAGCCTTGCAAGACCCCTCTTCACTCTGCAAAATCTGCCTCCACCTTGCACGAGTGGCCCATGTTCCTCTGTGTTTCTGTGTCCATGGGAAACACAGCCATGGGAGCGAGGAGGATGCCCGAGATGGAACATCTGATGCCACTTGGGCATCTCCCACTGCCATCCACAGACACATTACAAATGTCTTGGGGCATAATTTGCTCAAAACATACTGCCACTAAACACCCAGCCCCAGGGCTGCAAAGCTCCCAATCTCCCCCCAGGGCTCACTTTCCAGCCAGGTGCATGGGCAGTGGATGGGTCCACGTGTTTGCTGGAAGAAGGAGCAAACCTCTAGGTTGTTCTCCCAAGCTCGCAGACCCCAGGGCCAGGGTGTGCATGTGTAGACAGGAGCCGGAGCCGGGCTGCGATGCACCACATTCCCCCCACTCCCTGCCAAGCTGTGCCTCCAGTCCTGCCTCTACCTAATTAAATAGAAAGCCTGGAAAGTCCAGTGGTGACTTTGCTTCTCCTTCAGAAAACTCTTTCCAGACAATAGTCCCATTGGCTTCTCACCCCAATTGGCCAGTATGTGACTGGGATGTGGCAACCTTTGCACACCCCTTCATGGAACCCGAAATGCAAGTGCTGACTCACTGGGGATCCCCAGAGCGGAGATGGCATTTGTGGGGTGGTTGGCATGAGGACGGAGCAGGGATGCATGGAGCCTCTCTCCTTGCTGCTCCCAGTCCCAGTCAGCTGCCTCTATGAAATGCATTTCCCTTCCCCACTGTTGCCTCTCCCCAAGCCTCGGCAGAGCCAGGGCTGCCTGTGAGTGGATAGCGGGGCCAGCGATGTGGGGGAACCCCATGCACGACAGCCCACGAGATCCCCTTGGCCACGCCAGACCACATGTGGGTCACGCTGGCAAGCACCCACCCTGTGCCAGGCTTATCTGGGGACTTGGCACATGAGCGAGCTGCAGCGTGCACGCTGCCTGCTGACCCTGTCCCCTCCATACCTGATGCTGCCCAGCCATGTGCTGGAGGGGACGTCCCTGCTCTGTGTCCTGCCTGCCCTAGGGATGTGGCTGAGGCAGAGATCCCCCCACATTGCTCCCCACCTGCCTGCAAATCTCTGTGGGATGCCATCGCTGCCCAGGACTGGATGCCATTGCTGCCTGTGGACCTCCAGGGACCTTAGCAGCTCTGCCTGAGGTCTCCCAGGTATGAATGGCCACACAGGTCTCGCTGGAGACCCAAGTCCCACCGAGGTGTCACAGGCTCTTAGCACCCAGCATCAATTTTCATGCCGGTGGGTTTGGTGTTGCAATGAGGAACATCACCATGAAGCCGCGATTTGAACTGTAAAAATGTTTTCAGTATCATCTTTTAGCATCTAGCAACAGGTTGGGAGAAACTTGAGGCATTTCAGATTCAGGGAATTTTCTTTAGTGTCATTTTCTCTCCTGTTTGTGATACTTTTGCTGCTGCTGTGTCCAGGGCACAAAATCACCTAAAATCACTGCATTTGCCAACTGCTGGGAATTCATGCCAGGGAAAGAAGGAAACATCCAGGGATAAGTGAACAGGAGAGCTGGTGAAGCCAAACCTTTCTTGTTGAGGCTACGAACCCTTTCAATATTAAAGTAGGCTACAAAAAGTCAGAGGAAAAATCTCATGACACTGGGTGCTCAGGCACATGATGGGACGACAAAATTCAGGGTTGATATTGCATGAGAAAAACCCACCCATATTATACACAGCACAGAAGGCTCTAACTTAATATTGCTCCCAGTAAAGGTCCTGGGCTCAGGGCAAAAATCTCCCTGAAAAAGCCCATTTGATTCTCAGAGGCAGCAAGGGAGGAAAAAAGACTGTGTTTGTTAGAAAAATGACTGATGAGAGCTAGGCAGTGTTGCTATGTATAAAGCCGCAGTACTCCCACACCTGAACCTATCCCCACCGCGCTGGGGATGCAGGAGGACCAAAAAAGCACCAAGAGCAATGACAGGGTGAGAATCACTTCAGTTACACTGACAGGCTGGAAGACGAGGATTTTTCAGGCTGGCAAAATCACACTTAGGGAGGAAGTCAGGAACAGCCTGCGAAATCGTGTGTGGCTGGGAAGGGGTGGGCAGGGACTGTGGTTTTATCCTGTGGCCCCCCCCTCTGCCTTACACTCCTTCACTGAGCAGTCTCTGCTGGCCATGGCTGCAGGAAAACTCCCAAAACAACAGATCTCTGGCCTGATCCAGTGGATCTGGGGACACCAAGCACTCCAGAACAGCCAGTTGACCCAGATGCAGGTGCCTCCTGTCCCTGTGTCCCTGTACGGGAAGGTGATTCCTGCCCCGGTAAGGGTCCTACACCCATTGGGGTTTGGGCAGCACTTAACACAAGGGGGTTGGGTCCCTTTTTGGGGGTCTTTGTGCTGATGAAGGGTTGTGGACCCCTCCAGCAAAGGGGCTGGAGCCCATGTCTGAACTGCAAAGGGGTCAGTGGGGTGACATGAGCTGGGTGTGTGCTCAGCCATCCTGGCTGAGCTGACTTTTCCAGCAATGCTCTCAGACATGGGAGCCTTCCCAGAGCCAACGAGCCCAGCAAAGGTGTCCCTGCAGCCTGGGCATGTCCTCGGACAGAGCAAGGGGGGCTAGTCACAGTGACTGCACAGCGAGAGGCTGAGCTGGGACACGGGGGCTGCACTCGAGCTTGGTGTCACATCCCCTTCAAGCCCCGCTGACACCCCCCGGTCCCACTGCGGCACCCGGGCCCCATGGCTGCCTCCCCCCAGACCAAAGGGCTGCAGCACCATGCTGGAGGGGAGTGACCTGGCCACAAAGCAGTTAAATATCTCCTCCTGGAGCAGCAGCGTTCAAATACAGTGCATCCCCCTCGTTTATGCCCCATGGTATTTGCTATTGGCTTGGCTTTGACAACAGATACAGATGATGAGAAGGGGAAAAACAGGGAGAGGAGTCATTTGTGGGGCAGCCCCATAGCCAGGGGTCTCTCCTGGGTGAGCCTGCCCCATGAGATGTGCCGGGCTGTCACCTCTGGTCCCTCAAAACCCCAAAGCTGTGTCTCACATGTCCAGGAGCAAGCAGGTTATCACCCCCAGGCTTCTGGGCTCCCCATGGCAAGGGAAAACCTGGGCTGAAGACAAATCTATCATCCCCTTTCCATTCCCTGAAGCACCCTGTCGGTGCTGTCCCATGTGTGGGTGGGACACACTTTGTCCTGGCCACAGGGACCCTGCGAGGGGCTGCCCTGTCCTGCCTGCTGGCTGCCACAGTGTGATCTCTGCCTGCACACCCAGCATCCCCTGAACCCCCAGGCAAAGCTACCAGAGGCTGCAGGATCCCCACTGACCCAGCCTGTCCTGATTGCTGCTGTGGCCAGATATGCCCAGGCAGGCAGCGTGGAGGAAGACCTTTCTCCCAGTGCTTCTCTAAGTTTGGGGCATCCTTGCTTCCTTTGAACCCCCGCAGCAGCCACGGCAGAGCTGGTCCTGACGCATTTTCCTACCTGACCGGGATCTTGACCCGCAAGTATCGATCCACGGCGATGGCCAGGAGTGCCAGGATGGAGCTCTCGGTGAGGATGAGGACGGGACAGGCCACCATGAGGCAACTGTAAAACTCCGTCTGCGGTCCGATGTTGATGATGATGGCCAGGGGGATGACCAGAGCCCCCACGGCCACATCGGCCACCGCCAGTGAGACGATGAAGCAGAAAGTGGCATCCCGCAGCGCCTGGTTCATCTTCACAGCCCAAATGACCAGGATATTCCCTGGCACGGACACCAAAGCGATGAGGACTTCAATGGAGATGTAGGCAGCCTGGAAGGCTGAGACGGGGTGTGCCATGACGCTCCGGTCCCCCCCTGCCTCACGCTGGGGTCCCTCGGTCACCTGCAAAGGCACAGGGAGGCGATCAGCAACTGGCATCGTTAACTGCGCTGTGAGCCGAGATGGAGCCTGTGCGGGGAGGTGGGAAAAAAAGAAACCAACAAAACAACCCCACTCCCGTCTGTGCCGTCCCCTGGGGCTCTGGCCCGCTCCCCACCCCCCCGGGACTCATCCTGCACCCACCTCCATCCCACTTCGCAACCGCTCCCGGTGCTCCGGGGGGAGCGGGAGCCGCCGGCCAGCCCCGGGGAGAGCGGCGGAGCCCCACCGCCCCTCGGGACCGCCCCGGGGCCGTCTGCCGGAGCCCCTCGGGGCCGATGCAACCGGAGAGGAGCCGCCGTTCCCTCCCCCGGCTCCCCGGGCTGCTTCCTCCCGCTGACCTCCACCGCTCCCCGACGGCAGCCGCCCGCCCCTGCCCAGCCCCAACCCATCTCACCTTGTCCTGCAAGCTGAGGGCTTGTTTTGGGGTGTCCTCACCCTAAAATAGCAGGAGCTCTTCACCCGCAGGGGAACGCGGCAGGCATGCTGAGGGGGTGGCCGGAGGGATGCTCGGGGCGCTGGGTACCGGGCTTGCCACCGGCGAACGCAGCTGTGCTCGGTCCCCGGTACCCGGCACCGTTCGGCTCCCGCAGGCTCTGCCAGCTCCCAGCCGGAGCTGGAGCATCACATGGTGCAGCCTTCCAGCCGTTTAAAGAGCGACTGACCCGATTTGGGTCTCGCCGATTTTGGGACCCGTAATCTGGGTTATGGGGAAGTAACCGGGGGAGGGGGCTAGGGGGTGGGG